GAGAAAAACTTTAGAACACATTTCCTTCCAGGGAAAGCTGTCACTTGGTCCAAAAGAAATCCATCACAGGATCATCAGCTGCACAACTGAGAGAGCTATCTGATCCAATAGGCAGAGTGTGACAGCATTAAGCTTGTTTGATTTATTTGTGTTGTTATGGCTTCCAATGACTTCATGAGAATGAAATATTCAAATTACAACTGTCTTTTAATTTAGGATGAACAATAAAAACGGAACAAATTCTGAAGAGAGCAAAGGAATTAAAGAATAAGTGTGAGGCAGCCAAAACTTTCTTAATTAAGACAAGAAAATGCATAAAACATAAGATTTTTAAAAATTAATGAATCAGGGGCACCTGGGTGGCTCAGCTGGTTAAACATCCAACTCTCAACTTTGGCTTAGGTCATGATCTCGTGGTTTGTGAGACGGATCCCTGCGTCTGGCTCTGCACTGACAGCACGGAGCCTGCTTGGATTCTCTCTCTCCCTCTCTCTCTGCCCCTTCCCCTGCTCACACAACCTCTCTCTCAAAATAAATAAACATTTAAAAAAGTTAACATACCATACCCATTACATTAAGAAATTCTCTTCATATATAGACATCATGTTAAAGTTAAAAAAATAAGGTATATACAGGAAGAAAATATTCCAGAACATAGATCTGACAAGATGTCAGTATTCAAGTCTACAAAGAGCTCTTACAAGTCAACACTAAAATATTATAAACTGAACTAAAAATGAAGAAAATACTTGAAACGACACTTCACAAAAGAGGATATCTAAATGATCAAAAAGCATATTTAATGGCACCCACTATTATTACTCGTCAGATCAAAAAAAACAAATTAAAACAATACTCAGATATTATTACATGCCCACAAGAATGATCAAATTAAATAGCTTGACAAGTATTGCCAAAGATTTAAAGCAACTGAAAATCTTACATTGCTGGTGTGACTGTAAACCTAACAACAGTTTTGGGAAATTATTGATAAGATCTAGTGAAGCTGTTGTCAAAATCTAGAAGGATGGCTATTTTTATAGTGTGATATTGACCAAAAAGTAATAATAGAAACATTTTAGGCATTAAGGTATGCTTGATATAGGAAGTGTATGCACATTTGCAATAATTCATCAAAATTTTTAAGTGTTTATTTATTTTTGAGAGAGAGAGGGAGACAGAGAGAGAGAGAGAGAGAGAGCAGGAGAGGGGCAGAGAGAGGGAGAGAGAGAATACCAAGCAGGCTCCACCCTGTCAGGGCAGAGCCTGATTCGGGACTCCACCTCACGAATGTTGTGAGATCATGACCTGAACTGAAATCAAGAGTTGGATGTGTAACCGACTGAACCACCCAGGTGCCCCAAGGATTCATTAGATTTTATGCCTAAATTTGTATATAATTTATAATTCATTATTATGCTTGAAAAACAATGCAAATGAAAGGATGGTTATACATTGCTCTAAAGACAGAATGCCGTTTGAAATTATTCCTATTTTATTTTATTTTTTTCTCAAAGTTTTTAGTACTTATTTATTTTTGAGAGACAGAGGGTGAGCGGGGGACAGGCAGAGAGAGACAGAGAGAGATGGAATCTGCAGCAGGCTCCAGGCTCTGGGTTGTCAGCACAGAACTGACGCGGGGCTTGAACTCATGAACTGTGAGATCATGACCCGAGCCGAAGTCAGACCCTTAACCAACTGAGCCACTCAGGCGCCCCAGAACTTATTCCTATTTTAAATCCCTATTGTTAAGAGGCAGGCAGAGAGTTGTTACCCATATGTGTGAGAAACATGGTGTTTATTTTTACAGACCTTAGAATTCATTCATTCTTTCAACATTTACTTACTTATTTATTTACTTTTATTATTATTTTTTGTTAATATTTTAACATGTATTTATTTTTGAGAGAGAGAAAGAGAGTAGGGAAGGGGCAGAGAGAGAAACGGAGACACAGAATCCAAAGCAGCCTCCAGGTTTTGAGCTGTCAGCACAGAACCCGACTCGGGGCTCAAACTCATGGACCGTGAGATCATGACTTCAGCCAAAGTCAGACGCTTAACCAACTGAGTCACCCAGGCACCCCTGTTTTTTTAATTGTTATTACATAGTAGATGTTAAAGAGACATAATCAAATCCAGTTGGGAAATTGCATTATTTGAAAATTACGTATAAAATGAGGAAAACTTGAGCACTATATTTGAGGCCATATAAAATTCTCAAGAACTTAAAGACAAAGTCTAAAATTAAGGGCACCACAGAAGGAACTTTTGCTCACAATTTTCTTTCTTCTACCTTTTATCCTTTAACATTATATCTACATTTTGGAGATTCTGAAGACATTGCCCATATATAATGTTATCTTATTGAATTTGACTGAGCCCTTTGATTTGGATTATTTTTTAAATAGTGAAATCTTAGCAACATACATTTGACATCTTAGTAGAGTATAGTATGGTATTTCCTGAGAAGAAAATACACACACACACACACACACACACACACACACACACACACACACACAGAATAGGCAAAAGGCACATAAATGGAAAACTGTTATTTTGAAAGTAAAGATACAAAAAGAAGGAAGAGAAGGGACTGACTATAGACTGAATGAAAATTGATGGGTGGCAAAGAGAAATTTTACATACTTTGCAATATTGTGCAGCTACTGTAGACTAATGGTTAATGGGGGACAGAATCTGGATGATATTCTAGAAGAGGTTGTAACATACCTATTAGAATGGCTAAAATCAAAACATGGACAACAAAATGCTGGCATGGTTGTGGAGAAATGGGAACTCTCATTTATTGCTGATCAAATGCAAAATGGTACAGCCACTTTGGAAGACCGTCTAGCAGTTTTGTACAAAGCTAAACAGAGTCTTATGCATAAGATCCAGCACTAACTCTCCCCGTCTTCACCCACATGAGTTGAAAACTTATGCTCACACAAAACGACCTGAACAAAAATGTTTATAGAAGTTTTATTCTTAATTGCCCAAACTTGAAAGCAATCAACACTCCCTCAGTAGAGGAAGAGATAAACAAATTGTGGTACCTCCAGACAATGTGGAATATTATCCAGTGATAAAAAGAAATGAGCTTTCAAGCCACAAGGGTATGGAGGAATCATAAAAGCTTATTGCTAAGTGAAGGAAGTCCATGTGAAAAAGCTACATACTATATGACGCCAACAATGACATTCTGGCAAAGGAAAAGCTATGAAGACAATAAGATTAGTGGCAGCAAGTGTCTGGGGGAGGGAGGGAGAAATAGGTGGGGCACAGAGGATTGCTAAGGCAGTGAAATTACCGCATGGGACCAGTGGTGACATGACATGCATAGTGTAACACAAGGAGTGATCCCTAACCTAGACTTTAAATTTCAGTTAATAATGACATACCAATATTGGTTCACTAATTGTAATTAACACACCATACTAATCCAAGATGTTTCATAATAGGGGGAAATGTGTGCATGTGTGTGGATACTGTAGAAACTCTGTACTTTATGCTCAATATTTCTGTAAACTTAAAACTGCACTAAAAATAGTGCATTAATTAAAAAAAGGAGATTGTATGTTAGATATATGGGCGAGTCAACGGGAGGAAACAGTGAATGTAAAAATAGAGAGGAGATATAATCTGTATTTTGGGAGGCAATTTGGAGAGATGTCTAAGAGAAGAGGGTTAGGATTTGGGAGGATAACTTTTTTTTTTTTTTTTAAATTTTTTTTTTTTCAACATTTATTTATTTTTGGGACAGAGAGAGACAGAGCATAAACGGGGGAGGGGCAGAGAGAGAGGGAGACACAGAATCGGAAACAGGCTCCAGGCTCTGAGCCATCAGCCCAGAGCCCGACGCGGGGCTCGAACTCACGGACCGCGAGATCGTGACCTGGCTGAAGTCGGACGCTTAACCGACTGCGCCACCCAGGCGCCCCCCGGGAGGATAACTTTTAATCAGCTTTTAAAGCTACTCTGAAATAAATTTTTGATTACCGTGTTTTGCCTTCGGTTTCTGAACAATTATACATTTTTGATTACTGTGTTTTGCCTTCGGTTTCTGAACAATTTTATCCCACACTTGCCAAAGCCCATGAAACTGTACAACACACAGAATAAAATTTAAACTATGGATTTTGGTTAATGATTATATATCGATATTGATTCATCAACTGTAGCAAGCAAAAACGGTTTTTAGTTTTCAAATGTGAAAAGTATAAAGTAGGTCAGCAGTGATGCCCAACGTTCTAAAACTTACAGAAAAAAAAGTAGATCCTTTATTTATTTTATTTTTCTAGAATTCCTTACCGGTATTACAACAGTCAGACTGATTGTTCTTGGCTCTCAAATGTTTACATTCCTCAGCACTGAAAGAGATAAATACCTCACTTTTTTAGATTGAGGAATAAGATGCTTTGAAAGAACATGATAGATTGTAGAGCTTTGAATTTGACCCATTTCTTTGATGTAATTTGGAGATGAAGCATAGCAATCTAAAGAAAACCAGACATGAAGAAATATTTCAATGAAAAACACAACGCTATGAAATATGATTGGCATGCTACCTATGAAGAATTCTATTTGGGGTCTGATATATCCTGCTGTTGAAGATACTTCATTCCTTCATATGAAGTGATCCCATAACTTTTTGTGCCAGCTTTCTGGAGGTATAATTGACAAATAAAATTACGTATGTCTAAAGTATGGAACATAATTTGATAAAGTGATGCAATAACATTTAGAGGCCACCCTGACGAGGCACCAAAGCGATCTCAAACATTTTAATGAGTGTTAGGGCCTCTCCCTGTGTCAGGGGACAATGAATGAATACATTGTTGTCAGGGAGGTAATTAGAAAAATGACACAAAAGGAGGGTACACACGTGATTTATCACATGCTCTGACCAAGGTATATAAGCCTCCCTCCATCCATGCTGACATTCACACTCAGGATCTTGCCTTGAATAGCAAACCCAACTCAACACCCTTGACACCATGAGATACTACGGCAACTACTATGGAGGCCTGGGCTGCAGCTGTGGAGGCTTCGGTGGCCTGGGCTGCGGCGGCTGGGGATGTGGCAGCTTCCGCAGACTGGGCTGTGGCTGGGGCTGGGGAGGCCTCAGACATGGCTCCTGCCGCCCACTGTGCTACGGCGGATATGGGTTCTCTAGCTTCTACTGAGACCCTGCCCTGGAATTCGAACATCTGAGGCTACAGGTTCATAACTCAAATCAACCAAAATTTGAAACAAACAGTATCAGCTGGGACCAAGCCAAGATCAACGGATTCAGCATCTTAGAGTCTAGGAATAATTATCATCTTCTCTTTGCCTGCTTCATGTCTCCAGGTGCCCCCTATTTCACTTTTGTAACTGTGGAATTTCCCTGTTTCCTTTGCAATAAATTATCCTCACTTAAAATGGAAGCTATGGCTTATCTTATTTATTTATTTAACTTAATTCTGATTTTCCCTTTCACAGTGTGCTTCTCTTCTTGTGTCCTTTCAGAGAAACAGTCCTAAACTCCTGGTTATCGGTCCCTGCAATGATCATAGCAACATAAACACAGAGTTTATGAGGATTAATCCGCTTTCCACAATAGCCACCTAATTTTGCTCAGTGGTGTTAGTTTTGATTTAGAATCTTGAACCTATTAATTTCTGGTTTATCTGGATCTGAAAAAAATTAACTAGCAAGCAGTGTCAAGTTCAAATGCTATTTCCGATATTAAGGATGGATTTTGAAAGACTCAGACTTGTTTGCTAAACACAAAAGTACATTTGTTCAGTCAGATTCAGATGGCAAGACCTAACCTTTTAGTCAACCCAGTCATATTATATTAGCTTTACATTGGCCAGGTCAGAGAAAGTAATAGCTTGGTGACTCCACTGGATGACTATACTACTTAGCATGACAGGGTTCAAGAACTATTCTATTTTCTTAATGGTTAATAGTAATTCTCCAGAATTTGAACAAAGTCCTTCTGTAGTTCTAAAGAAGAAAAATCCATACCATGGCTTGGAGCAGGTATTTGACATTCCTAGTATAATATTATATTATTAGAATTTGAAATGACTGCCTTTATGGGTCTCTGCTGGAGTTAGGGAAATTCTCCAGCACATCTTTTTTCCAGGGAAAAGCTACTGCTTATGTTGGGAACAACACATCACACAACTGATGCACATCTGGAAGGGTCAAATGGGCAAAGTCTGACACACTGAAACCTGTCTGATTTATTTGTAATTTTATAGCTTCAGCTTGACTTAGTGAGAATGAGATATTCAAGTTATTGACTGTTTTTCGTGTTTAGAATGATCAATGAAAATGGAACAAGTTCTGAAGAAGGCAGACAGAAAGAATTAAATAACAATGTGTGATGTAGTAAAAAATTTAATTGGAACCCAAAGCATTAGACATAAAAGAAAAAGATGACTAAATTAGACATCGTTATATTACAACATTGTGTTCTTGTATAAACAGAATGTAAAGTAGAAAAATGCAAGCGACAAACCAGGTGAAAATAATTTTAATGTATAAGTTTGATAAAATGCCACTACCCCAAAATGTAAAGAGTTCCCGCTAATCAATTATAAAATATTGATTAATTGATTAATATTAAATAAGCCCAGTTAAAAATGGACAAAATACTTGAACAGGCATTTCAAAAGAAAGGATATCTAAGTGGCTTGTAAAGATATGTTAAATTCCCAGTGCCATTATTGATCAAGCAAAACCAAATTAAACTAATATTCAGATAACACTATGGACCCTAAGGATGATCAGATTAAGACTCTGAAACGGTCAATGTGGGTAAGGATGTGGAAAATCTGGGACTCTCATAGATTGCTGGTGGTACAGTAAATTTAGCAACTGTATTGGAAAATCTTGGGCAGAATCTACTGAAGCCAAATATATATAGTATAAATTGGCAATGTGTTTCCTGTGTATACCCAAAGTAAAGGAATGCTTAGGTCTACAAAAAAGGTCTCTATTAGAAGGTACATAGAGACTTGATTCATATGAAAGAAAGAAAGAAAGAAAGAAAGAAAGAAAGAAAGAAAGAAAGAAAGAAAGAAAGAAGGGAGGGAAGGAGGGAAGGAAGGAAGGAAGGAAGGAAGGAAGGAAGGAAGGGAAGAAGGGAGGAAGGGAGGAAGGGAGGAAGGGAGGAAGAGAAACTACTCAAATATAGATTTACCGGAGCAAAATAGTAAATAAATTGTGCTCTAGTTATACAATGAGCTACTTTGCAGCAATGAAAACAACAAAACTAACGTTACATGCAACAACAAAGATGCATCTATCTCACAGAGACAGTGATGTACAAAGTATTTCAGGGGAGAAAAGTGCTGGTATACTTTATGATTTCATTCATATGACATCCAAAACAGGCAAACTTCTAGGCAGGAATACTAACTGGTGGGTCAAGAGAAAATCTGGGCAGCTTGGGTGTAATCGATCTAGGTAGTCTGTGAGTTAAAGCAAAATATCACTAATTTGTACAGTTAAGATTTGGGTATTTTACAATATGCTTTAAACAACAACAACAAAAAGCAAGTGAAATGATGGCTTATGAGCTTCTCTAAACTAAGAAAACTATTTGAGCTGGTTCTTCCTTTAAATCCTCAGATACATTCATAGAGATACCCATGTCTGTGGAAGGCATGATCCTTACCTATAAGAACCCTAGAGTGCATTCATCCATTTGACTCTTCCTCATTGATTTTCTACGTCCTGCTAGTATTTGCACAGCAGTCAACTAATCCAGCTGGGAAAATGCATCATCTGATAATTGCTTATAAGCTCAACAAAAGCTGAACAGTGTATTTGACTCCATGAAAGGTGAAAAAGAATTTAGATGCTCAGTTGAAGAGCGTATCTGGCAGGACTCAACCAGGATTTGAATCAGCCTTGCACATAGGTGATTAAGTTCTCCAAGTAAGCTGAAGGACTTTTTGCTTCACTTCATGCTTTCTCCACTCTGTCTTTTTATACCTATATTTTTGGAGATTCTGAAGACCTTCTTTTTTTTTAAATTTTTTTATTAGTTTTCTTTATTTTTGAGAGGCAGAGAGAGACTGAGTGTGTGGGGGGGAGGGGCAGAGAGAGAGGGAGACACAGAATCTGAAGCAGGCTCCAGGCTCTGAGCTGTCACCACAGAGCCCGATGTGGGGCCCAAACTCAGGAACCATGAGATCAAGACCTGAGCCAAAGTCAGTTGCTCAACTGACTGAGCCACCCAGGCGCCCCTGAAGCCTTTTAAATGTTAACAGCCTCTTACTGAATTTCATGGCGAATTAGGCATTTTTTTTTCTCAGCATCTAAGATCTTAATAAGCATTTCATATCTTACCAGATACAAGTTAGCTGTTTTCTGAAATAGAAAAAAAAAATAAACACACAATAAGCAAAGAGAATACAAGGACAAAACTATTATAGTAAGAGTGAAGATACATATAGAAGAATTTCGGTAAAAATTGGATAAAAATGGAGGGAAGCCAAAGATAAATTGTATATGTTTCCTTATTTCACTGCTCAGACCTTAGCAGGAATTGAGAGGAACTGAGGCAAGTGATACTGGAAAATTGATTGAATAAGAGGGTAAATAATAGATTAGTGGAAAGGGAAGAAAAGGTGTCTATGAGGCAGAGAGGCAGATGTAATCTGTATTTTTGGGTAGATGATATGCAAGAAAGGGGCTCAGGATGTGAAAAAAAGGAATTTTGAATGTATTTTTTTAATGCTGCTTATGAAACACATTTTGATTACTCTGATTTGCCTTTAACATTTGAATAATATTACTTGATGTTGTTAACCCAAATACTGATTTTCTAAGCTAGTATGCAAAATCAAAAAAGAGAATATTTTTTATGATGTTCCATGTCATAAAATAATAGAACGAAGACGACTCTCTTTCAACTTTTTTTTTTCCTGAACTTCTCTACTGATGTTCACAGCAGGTGAACGGATACTCCCAGGCTTTCAAATGTTTCTTTTCTTTGGCTTTGAAAAAAGACTTTACCATGAGGTATTAGGTGCCTTTAAAAGGATATAATAAATTGTGCTGAATTGAATTTAACCAATTTCTTTCATTTAATTATAAGTGAAGAATGACAATTCAAGGAAAGCCAGAGATGATGCAATCCTTAATTTTAAAACACAACACTAGCAACTGTGTTATGCAATATGTCTGGTTATGAGGAATTTTATTTAGCCTGGGATGTTCAGGCTTTGAAAGTGCAGCGATCCTTTCTCATAAAAGGGATGCAGTATGTTTAAGGGACACCATGACTACATAAGCAATGCAAGCTCAAACACTTTGATGAGTTCGAGGGCCTCTTCATGTCAGGATCGTGTCAGACAGGTAACACACAGAATGACACAAAACTAGGTAGCATGTGTTTTTATCACCTGGTCTGCTCAGGGCATGTAAGTATCCCTCTACGCATGCTGAAATTCACACTCAAGATCTTCTATTGAACAGAGAAACAACTCATCACCCGCGACACCATAAGCCATCACAGCAACTACTATGGAGGCCTGGGCTACGGCTACGGAGGCTTTGGGGGCCCGGGCTATGGTTGTGGCTGGGGATGTGGAAGTTTCCCTGGACTGGGCTGTGGCTGGAGCTGGAGAAGCCACAGATATGGCTTTTGCCTCCCACTGTGTTATGGAGGATATGGGTTCTCTGGCTTCTACTAAACGACTGTGCCAGTAATCCAACATCTGAAATTATAAGGGACTTCCCCAAATTGATGTTCAGGATATGAACTTCCAATATCACGGTGGGATTATTTGCACGAAAGTATTTGGCTTCTCAGAATTTTGAATTTTTCAATTAATGCCTACATCTTCAACATAACTCTAGAATCTTCTTCTGTTTTGCTCTAATAATGCATTGGATTATCTGTTCACCTGCCAATAAAATGTAAATTTGAAAACAAAATATGGTTTTTGTTTTGTTCATGGAACTCAGTTATGTGGAAGTGATGTGCTGTTTTAATTTTTAGCCCTATAAGACATGTCAGTAGACTGTGGACTGTTACCCGATTAAGTGTGAAACGATAGAGCCTGACAACTGGATTTTACCTGCTGTACACATTGAGAATCTCTAAGATTCAGAGGAGACTGACTGAAAGGACAGTTGGACTAAATTGTCAATGAGGGAAGCTGGGCTTAGAAGAAAAAAAATTTTTTTTTCATATACTTCACAAACATGGATGCAGCTAAATTTAAAAACTAACAATTCTAGACCAAAATGAAAAAAAAATGTTTCGAAAGGTTAGCAATTTAATATTTTTCAATCTCTTGCTTTTACTTAGATAATATTTAGATTTAAGTCGATAACAGCATCATATCTATTTATCAAATATATGTGTTTTAGGTTATTCAACTCACATTTTTCAATTTAGTACAATGCATAATAATTCCATTTATTTAGAAATTTATTTGGTTGTTTTATTTTAACCATAATCAAATGATAAAAGATCAAACCATATCACTAGGCTCATTATGAAAGTAAATCACCTTTCCAAGAATTTTTGTATTTTGAACGATTTCACCCCGTGTGTCGTATTATTTTGCACATTATATAATTTGACATTTGCATCAAGCAGCCGATATCTATAACTCAGTAATGAATTGGGGCAAGGTTTTTCCTGTGAGGTCATTTAACTGAAAATATGTTAACTAAAATTTTTAGTTAGCTTTCCTATATTCTCATTGCATCTTCATGACCAGACATAAGAATTTTTTCAATCCAGGGGCGCCTGGGTGGCTCAGTCGGTTAAGCGACTGACTTCGGCTCAGGTCTTGATCTCACGGTTCCTGAGTTCGGGCCCCGCCTCGGGCTCTGTGCTGACAGCTCAGAGCCTGGGTCCTGCTTCGGATTCTGTGTCTCCCTCTCTTTCTGTCTCTCCCCTGCTCATGCTTTGTCTCTCTCTGTCTCGAAAATAAATAAAACATTAAAAAAATTAAAAAAAATTTTTTCAATCCAATAAGGGAAACAAACAACCAGACATAATTTTGAACGAATTTATTTTTCAGTTTAAGCTGATGCTCAACACAGCTGAATCCACAGAGCCTTCTTATGAATCTGAATTGTCCCTGATGAAAATGGGCAGGAAGAGAGACATTTTACTGATGAATTAAGAAAAAGCTATAAGGAAATACCAATGTTTTTTCCTAAAATCAAATGATGTGTTCGGGGAACAATATAAAATTAAGCTATTTTGTTTAAATGTGTCAAAATTTGTCAAATATGTTTGATTCAGTCAAATAGTAGTGTCATAAAGTTGCCAAAATCAAGACATTAAATGACAGCAGGGTCATGAAACTTATCTTTCAAGTAAACACACACACACACACACACACACACACACACACACACTCCTCAGAAAAGTAACTGGTTTCTGTAGAATTATGTAGGCTCTAGTGACCAAATCAGGACCAAGGTCAAGGTCTTCTGAGTTCAGGTGTCACAGTGTCCTCTGAGCTTCCATGAGCACAGCTGCATTTATGGCATATGCAGAAGGATTACCTTTCTTAGGTAGAATCACCATTTCTACAACATATTGTGGTTATGATTTAGAGAATTAACACTCTTAATTTCAGTGTTAGTTTTATCTAGATTTCACCTATATCTATATACATCTCTCTCTCTCTCTTTCTCTCTCTCTCTCTCTCTCTCTCTCAAAAGATGGAAGTCTTCCTTCAAAAGGCACAGACTTATTCAGTCTACCTAAAGATAAGTTTGCTCAGCCATCAGTTATAACCTAGGTTTTTAGTTGCTCCAGTCTGGGTGTTGTAGACTCTCCATGTACAAAGCAAATGAGGTATAGCTATATGACTCTGTTATTTCACACTTGATCAGGTAACAGTCTTTAAACATGCCCTCTAGGGCTAACAGTGAAGACAGTCATCTGTATTATTAGATTGAGAAACACTGTGTATGACACTCCTAGCAAAATACATTATCATATATTATTATATCTTATTTCATGGTTTCATTAATATTTTTGAGTGAAGGAAATACATTTTGAATTTATAACAGAAGTGCCCTTACCTTCCAAATAAAAGCTATAACTTGACCAATGGAAGAATGCATCTTCATCATTTCACACATACACACAGGATCTGACTTTTACACCAAGTCATTGTCTTCTCATAGAAAGTTCCTGAGAAGAGAATGACAAAGAATTGTCTAAGTCTTTGAGTCCACTGAACATCAGAGAAAAACAAACAACAACTCTCAAAAAAATATAAATTTCTCAGTTTTCAAGGATAACTAGTATCCAGAGGATATTACCATTTTTTTCTATTTTTTAACTCAGGAGAAAAAAATAAAATATATTCATATATTACACAGTATTATTCCACAACTTTATGTTCTTAATTATATACCACTCTTCTTTGAAAATACATAAATAAGGGTGCATTTCATCATTGAGTTTATAAAAAAAATTGTGAAATATATTGGTTTTATCTCTTGTGCGCGTAGTTATTTGCCTTGGAAATAAGAACATAAATTAGTATCACACAGTCAAAAAAATCTACCAGATTTACTTGACCATTCATGAGATTCTTAAACTTGCTAGATTTATTCGTGATTGTTTGGCTTCAAAATGACTCCTTGAGAATTAAAAAATTTTCCAGATTTCTGGAACTTTTCCACAACAAAAAGTAGAAATGGAATAATTTTCATAAGAAGGAAAAAAGATTTAATAGCCAAGGCAAACACTGGGTTAAATATTCCTTTAAAACTTGAAAGCCATTTTAATCCATAATCCATTTTAGAGAATTGCTAAGGCAGAATTCATTCTTTTATTAATTCAACAAATATTTTTTTGTGTATAAGAACAATGAACAAATCCAGTTGGGAAAATATATTATCAAAAATGTTACAGGGGGACTGGGTGGCTCAATCAGTTAAGCATCTGACTCTTGATTTCAGCTGAAGTCACGATCTCATGGTTCATGAGTTCAAGCCCCATGTCCATGCTGTCCGTGCAGAACCTGTTGGGATTCTCTCTCTCCCTCTCTCTCTGCCCCTCTCCTGCTCTCTCTCTCTCCAAAAATAAATGAACTTAAAAAAATGAAAACAAAATAAAATGTAACAAAAATTTTACAAAAATACTAAGTCAAGAAGTTATATGCACCCCATGTTCAATACAGCATTATTTACAACAGTCAAGATATAGAGGCAACCTGTGTACATTGATGGATGAATGGATAAAGAAAGAATAACACACACACACACACACACACACACACACACACACACACACGCTAGGTGGAATATTAGCCAGCCATAAAAAGAAGGACATCTCGTCGCTTACAATAACATGGATGGATCTTGAGGGCATTATGCTAAATGAAATAAGTCAGAGAAAGATCTATACTGTATTATCTCACATATACATAGAGTCTAAAAATACAAAAACTAAAAACTGAGCTTATAGATACAGAAAACAGATTGGCGGTTGCCAGAGGCAGGGGTTGGGGGTGGGCTAGAAAAAATGTGTGAAGGGATCAAAAGATAAAAACCAGTTATTAAATAAATAAGTTGTAAAGATGTAATATAAGCTGTATATTGCATATTTGAAAATTTTCTAAGACAGTAGACCTTAAGAATTCTCAAGAGGGGCGCCTGAGTGGCGCAGTCGGTTAAGCGTCCGACTTCAGCCAGGTCACGATCTCACGGTCTGTGAGTTCGAGCCCCGCGTCGGGCTCTGGGCTGATGGCTCAGAGCCTGGAGCCTGTTTCCGATTCTGTGTCTCCCTCTCTCTCTGCCCCTCCCCCATTCATGCTCTGTCTCTCTCTGTCCCAAAAATAAATAAACGTTGAAAAAAAAAAAATTAAAAAAAAAAAAAAAAAAAAAAAAAAAAAAAAAAAAAAAAAAAAAAGAATTCTCAAGAAAAAAAATTGCAACTGTGTATGGTGATGAAAGTTATCTAGACTCACTGTGGTGTTCATTTCTCAATATATACAAATATCAAATCATTATGTTGTCTACTGAAACTAGTATAATATTATATGTCAATTATATGTCAATAAATCAAATGTTGCTTATAAATTTCAAAACAGAACACAACCAATACAATAATAACGGAAGGAAACAAAATATTCAGTAACATGTTTAATACCATGTAAGGTACATATATTGCTAAAGACCCAAGTCAAGATATGGTCACATTCAGGTGGGACTTAAACTTGGGGTTTGGTTTACTATCTTTACAGAGTGAGTGAGCTGAGCAACCTGTGAGGACTAGACATTTGCCTTCGTATCCTTGTCTCTTGCCTCCGTCATTTCATGACTGCCTGTTCATTCTTGGAGATTTTCAAGGAATCAGGATTTTAAGAGATTCTATTAAAAATATTACATGATATTAAGAGTACATATTCTTAAAAATTTTTAAACTTTAATAAATAAGTAATAGCATACAAAAAGAAAATGCTTCCTGATTGTCTAAGGGAAAATAGGAGGCGGGACACCTAGAATTTGTAGAGAAAACTTAAGGACAAAAATATTGTGATGAATTATGGGTAGAGGGATGAAATACTGAGTGGAAAAAATGGATAAGAACCAAAGACCTAGATGGGGCAAGTATGAATTGGGGATGAATGCAGAATGAGATTTAAGGAGAGGCTTCACGGAGAGGTTTGATACATGGATTACAAAGAAAAGTAAAGAACAAAAATGA